TTATTACATTAGACAACGTAACACAACGTTACTTGTTACTTTACATTAACTAATTAACTATTGCACCCGACAAGCAAAGAATTAATTTCTTATGAAGTAGGTATCTTGTCTTGATATTATGTTTTATGTTACAATATGGACTGTTGTTAGAATCTCTGCGTCTTTCATTTTATTCTCATCTTTATAAGCTTCATCAATGACATTGGGGATGGCCCGCGCTATTTTAAAATCTGATTCTCACTGATGACCAAGTGATTCAACATTCACTAAAATGATAAAAATCCCGATCGCGACCAGTACCTAATATACTGGACAGTGATCAAACCACAACCACCTGTGTTACTGTAATCCATCTACAATACTCTATCATTAAACGATTTTGTTTGATATAGTGAAATTAAGTTTTAATTGGTCATTTAGATAAGCTTCGGTCTTTTTCATCTTCGTAATAATTATGAATAACATTAAGGTACTCTCATTTTAATTAATTTTTAAGAGCGGCTCCTTGTTTAGCTATTACTGTGTCAATAGCAAACAGTAAATGATATTTATTAATAGATATCTAGTAAATCGCTCTCCTCATCAGTCAATAATTAAATTTTATTCCGGTGATAGTTCATCAATGATGTTTGATGGCTAGCACCATCCATCATCTAAGAATATTTGTGAATATATTGTCCAGATTGTTCTTGTAATTTAAACTCTAATTCTTTTTTTTAAGTCTTTTAACCTTGAACGTCCTCCATGCTCTTGCATTTCCTAAGAACCAAGGCAGTTGTCAACATCATTCAGTCAGATACTTCTAATATCCTTAATACGTTCATGTGACATCTCGTTAAAAGTAAATATGCGATGGCTTCTGTAAACTTCAAGTCGTGATATGAAAATTAGCCTTAAATTAGAATTGTTGTCTGCCATCCTTGCTTTACAGAATACAAAATCAGCTAGGCAAACAAAATTTTGTACATTTCCTTTGTAAAATTTTCGGGGTATATCGGAATTATTTTGTTGAGTTTCAAGTGGTCGGTATTAACACTTCTTGTATATTATAATTTTTGTCACCTTTGATTGTCCTCATTGCTATCGTACATTTAAGATTAGCAAAATCTTCGTTTAGTTTTGCAACTTTATCCTTTGTAGATTTGTTGTCCTGTTCATGAGATCAAACAGAGAAGGTTTTTAATGTGGCCATGTAATTACAAATGCCCTCTTCTTTAAAAGATTAATAACTCAGTACGTAGAAATCAGAGGAAAATACTTCTCCATTAATAGGAAATTATTCATGATCAATATTTTGAACCACAGAGGTTGGTCTGCAGATAGAATAACATTAATATAAATAGGTACTATAATATTTATATAGGAAAATATTATGAAAATATTATGTGGTAGTAACATACTTAAACATTTATTAATTTTCCTATCACATACATCTGCATACATCTTGGGAACCTGTTTATTGTATAACACGATTTATCGACAAACTTCTATTAGAAAAATAGTTCTAGCATTATAGTGTGATTGGTTTATTAGATAAAGATTTACTAAAACATGCAACGAGAATGTGATCTACATCTAAGGTATTCCGATTTATCAATCTTCTTCCGAACTCTAATTAATTAACATTGGCAATGGTTAATTCATTATCATCAATTCTTATTTCTCTATCGCCGTGCATGTGCATGGTTAAATTAAATAATATTCCATCAATAAATTTTCTTCTACAAAACATTTTCCATAATTGACTCAAACAGTTTGCAACACTACATCTCCAACAACTAATACATCATAGTCACCCCGTTAACGACATGTTAACCATCGAACAAAAGCGCCCTAATTCTAAAGACCATGATCAATTGAAGAAGGTTAGGAACCTTTTAAACTAACCAAACATTACAACAGAAGTCTTCTATAAAGATATACGTCATAATGAGAATCACGAAGCATTCACGAAGTCCCAAGTTCTTCTGCCATGTGTATAAGTAAATAGTGACGATAATATTGTCGTCGATAAAACGGTTAACACGGTAATTCATGGCCCTAGTGATAATTGAAACGTTCTGCCTGTGATGTAAGGCGCTTCCACATCACGCAGCGCAACGCAACTTGGGTTGTGATTTTCAAAATGTCGTGTTTTGATATTTATTTGTCATCCACGCTTTGTTTTATTATGGGACTTATTTTTGGGATTCAAGGACTAATGACGATAATTTGTTTAGTGAATTTTATTGAACTTTGGTTTACACGTGTAGTGTGAGAAAACTTATGTAATAATGTGAAATGGCAACACAAGAGAGCTTAGTTTGGAATAATAAACGCTTTACAATTTTAATTGGAAATTTGTAGACCTATTTCAGATTAGTTTTATCAAGATTCAGTACCTACTACTACTGTGATCCACAGTATCAACTTGACAAAACCTATGAATGATCTACACATTCTTTGATGTTGAGAGGAGTTTGGTTTCTGACTCCTGTTACTGATAATTTGGCCTTGATATCTATGTAATAAATCCATTTGTAATAGAAATAGCGTGCACACGCCCTTTCAATCCTAAGCTATTTATTAAACACATGATTACCATATAGAACTAGTTGATTTCTGTGTCAGCTTCATTAGCTACCTTAGAATCGATTCTCTTATCTTGTTATCGATTAAGTATGTAAGCATTATTAATTGTTGTCCTTGATTTTTAGGGTTGCCAATCAATACTAAAGTCTTGATGCATTCCGTCCCAAAGTAATATTTTGTGCAGTTTGTCATAACGAATGAAGATTTTTTAGTATTTAGGAAAAATTGTTACATATCTTATCCTAAATCAAATAATATAAGTAATTATAGTTTACAGTATTTTTAATGTGGGGATTTCATATATCTTTCATAACATAATCTAAATATAGTAAGCTTTATACATTTTTTTTAACTCTAACGATATTTATTTATATCTTTAGCCATTTTATTTTCTTCATACATATTACTATCAGCCCTAGACATTGACGCCATTGCCTCTTGTTTATTTACAACATGTTCAATGAAGACCTCTTGACTTTAAGAGACAATCGAAATTAAACATTTAATAAGCCACTGAGCTACTGTATCTCTTTTGACAATAGTTTATCATTGAAAGGGTTTCTTGACGCAACAATGGATTCTTAGATATAGGGGACTGACGTGCGGAGAGCATTAAGATATGAAATGTTTAGATATATTGACTTAAATTCTTTATATTATGTTAGACTAAAACAGAAATGTAAAGTATTAAGAAATTGGTATTATTTAGAAAGTATTAAGAAATTGATATTATTTAGCAACTCTTTCAAAAACTTGATTCATGAACTTGATTTTGAAATGAAATTTCTTTTTCATTCCTCAAAAAAATGCTAACGATTTTTTTTTTGTTTAACTAAGTATTAGATCAGATGGAATCTGTAATAAAGATTTCTCCTTCTCTTTAGGCCTTTGACTTGTAATAGAAAACTGATGAAAGCAAATCCTCCACTAACGTCGGTCACCGGTGACCCCCACGACATTTAATGTGTTAATTTTGAAAACTGTTGAGCATTCTGTGAGTCGCGGATTGAATTGCAATATTTACCAGGACATATCAAGCAGTTCAACTCTTCCGTTCTGCCATCAAATTAACTATACTACTTCTATTCCATCTACATATTATATTCCATCTGATTTCATATAACAGTCGTCCGTATGCATATTAAAAATCTATTAATCGTCCTTTGCACTGGACTTGGCAGTGACATCGACCTTCGAAACCACAATAGTACCATTCAATTGAGTCCCTCTGTCGTAAATCGGTTTTATATTCATTAAATGACGATAACACAATAATATGGGCCGCGCCTTCCTTTGAATACCATTATAAGCTGGCAGAATGGCCGCTACTGTGCAAAACCACAAATGGGTTCTATAGATTGCAGCGGGTTTTGGATTAATCGGGTTCATTGCAAATAGCTTTAATGTATGAACTGGACAACTGGTATACAGAGTACTTACCTTGTGGTTTGGAGGTCGTACTATTTAGTGGAGGGGTCCGACCCGTGAGTAGAGTATTACTTCAATTTGTGACTAAATGAGAATAGACTGACGAAACTGTAGTTACGTATCTACCAAAATCCTAAAAGGCATACAATATAAAAAGGAGTTGCACTCGAAGTCTTGGTGACAAATAAATGACAATCTTCAAAAGCCTCTCGAAAGAAGGAAAACATTCATCTCATTGCCATGACCAAACATTTCTTATGCCCCAATTTCATGGTGAAGTAACGGTCATCAGTAACAATACATTTTCTCTCATTCATACGACAAACAAAAGCACCTTTTTGTTCACCATCGGACAGTGATCTTAAAGTTTTTACTACTTCTAATCAATCGAGTAATCCCATACAATTTGGAGTAAAAACAAGTAATTTGTGTTGACTCGCGCGTAAAATTGTCATTAAGTAAAAAGTCCGTTAACAGGTTAATTAGAGCCCTATATTTCTTACTGCCGTGGTTATTTGGTTAGGAGACGAATGCTAAATGGTTCAGTTATGGTCTGACATTGTTTAAAATTATTGGGTTAACAAGAATCTCACGATTGCCATAACAATATATGTATTTTGTTACTTTTTAACAGCCTCGTTTGTTATTTATAGCGAGAAATTAAAGTTAACAATCACGACTGTTTGTATTAGTATCTCATCATGATGTTGAAATACATTTTAAAAGCCATATGGTTTTAAGTACGTACTTAGGTACTAAATAAAAATTACATAGGAAGGTCTGAATAGGTATACAGAGATAGAAGATATATTCAATACCATAGCTAGTACATACATATAATACTACTGATGGTATTGATCACTCACTATCCCTCATAGTTTCTTTGCCCATGATCAGGACTCTGGAATAAACAGCAATACGTCCTTAGTATTCTTTAGGATCTTACCGATATTCTATTAAAATCTACTTGGTAAGTAAAACAAAACAATTTCAAATTCCAGATTTACTATACGAGAACTACTTACCTGATGACCCGGACAAGCAGGACACCATTCTTCGGAAGCTGTCGGACTACTGCGGGAAATCCATGTTCAACTACACAACGGAAGATGCTGAACCTCCTTTCAAATGGGACTTCTACCATTCCTTCTTCTTCTCCTACACCGTCGTCAGTACTATCGGTAAGTTTAATATCTCCATGTATATCCATTACATTACCATCTCTAACAGCCCGTGATAGTTCAGTCTCTACTACTAAGTGGAATTTGCCATAGTCTCTTCGGCAGACGGTTGGGAATAGCAGTTTAACAGATTCAAGTTTATCAGAAAGCACTGTTGTCTGGTCTCTTACGATAGTCGCTAAAATAGAGAAGTAATGTATTCTTCTCTGCCTGTACCATCCGAGTATCCATAGTTTTATTTTCACTCAACACATGTATTGTATAAACTTTTAATCTTGTTTTGGTAACCTGTCTTATGCAGTCACTTTTTGTTCAAAAATAATGATATTATGAAAAAATATAATAAAATATTCAACCTACTCTTTATAATACGATCTATATGTATTTAATTTGAATGAAATTACTCTTGCTCTTGTATAAAATATAGTTTCATTTATTAGCAACTGCTGTTGGCTTGCTTCATTCATATTTGCATTGTTCTGATCATCAATTCAACGATTCTTATTCAGCATAACACTATACGTCTAATTAGTTACTTTGTGTTTTTATAGTCAGTCTTTGTTTTCAGTTCTGTTCACATGTGAAGATTACTAAAATGTACCACAACAAAATATTATGTTTTGTAATAGATGATTGTCTTCAATATTCTCTAAGACCGAAGAAAATTAAGTACCCAATAGAATTAGTGAATTATGTATTGGCATCGCCCTTGAAGTTATAAAACTTAGTACTTAATGTAGTATTATTACTCTCAGACTTGTTTAATACTAATTTCTGTATATATATATTTCCAGGTTATGGAAATTTGGCGCCGACAACGCACTTGGGAAGGATCTTAATGATATTCTACGGTCTGTTTGGTATCCCTATCAACGGTATTCTACTTGCCAACCTCGGTGAATACTTTGGCATGCAGGTGATTATCATTCATAATATTGTTTTTTTTTCTTTTAATATCTCATCATGAAGGCCAAGCAAAAATAGGTGAAATTTTATATTTCACTAGAAGAAATACGAAATAGGTATTTCGTTATAAGTTTTGTAACTATACAAAAATTAGAATGAAATAGAATTGTTAAAATAGCTAATTTAAATCCAATAACGCTTACCCTGATCTACAAGTTAAATCAAAACCTCCATAATTAAAAGTAAAGTAAGCAACAATAAGAGTAAAATGAGACGGTTACAACAACAGTCATAAAGCGTAATAAAACCGCACATGCGCCTGCTCACCAAAATAGCAACGAATCAGTCATGTGTCTAAACATCAACATTTGTTGAAGATAAGAGATCTATAAAGTTAAGCCACACATTATCTCTAAGACACTATTTTTATTTATAAAGTAGTAAAATGTCTCTTTATCATGAATTATGTATTTCGTATGTTTTCATTCTTTAGTTATGATTCAAATTATGTTTTCTTTCTACAAGTTTCTTTCAAACTAAATTTTCGCAATTTATTTGGAATTTACCCCTTCCTCACTATAAATAATTTACAGTAGATAATATTCGCTTTAATTATGACAAGTAAAACTAAACTTTCCCTGGTTTATAAAGTTATGAGCGTAGGTCTGAGTTTGAGAAGTTCCAACTATTTGCTGATCTATAGACCACGTTTTAACATTCAGAGCAACACCACCTTATTACGTTTTGCTATTACTTTCTTATAAAATAAATAATTTCATTTATTTCTTCCAGCTCATATCAGTGTATCGCAAGTATAAAAGACGCAATGAGAAAAGGGCTCATAACTTAGGATACTACTTCAACAACTTGGGCATGTTGGGTCAAATCTTCTTGTACCTGGTGCCTGGTTTCCTATTCTTCATCTTCCTGCCTGCCTGTATCTTCGTAGTCTTCGAAGGATGGGACTACGTTGCTGCCATCTATTATGCATTCGTGACCTTAACTACTATTGGTTTTGGTGATTTAGTTGCCGGTAAGAATTATTATTTTGTTGAAGTTTTATTCTTATTGTTACACCATTAGCTTCACCACAAAATTTGGTAAAGTGACGTTTCTTAAGTGGCATTATTTAGTACTAGCTACTTCCGCGCGGTTTCATATGCTCTACTCAGCTCCTATTGGTCGTAGCGTGATGCTTTATTTATAGCCTATAGCCATCCTCGACAAAAAGAAACAACAAAAATAATTATTCAAATTAGACGTGTAGTTACGGAGATTAGCGCGTTCAAACAAAAAAACAAACTCTTCCGCTTTATATAATAGTATAAGATATAAGATTTGCTGCTTACTTACATATTCACTTTGCATTCAACAATTATTATTTGTATTTCTACATTCCAGGTACGGTGAACAACGGCTTCAAATACGGCTACTTCTGCACCTACCAAATATTCCTGATAATCTGGATCACATTCGGTCTCGGCTACATTGTCATGTTGCTCGGATTTATCACCAGCGGTATGAGGTCTGAACGAATCCATAGGATAGAACAAAAGTTTGCTTGCCAATTCAAGAATACACAAAACAGGATTCTTCAGGGTTTTACGAAGGATCTGTCGGCACTTCGAAAAATCATTAATGAAGCCAACTTGATAAAGATAAAGGTACGTTTTTAACCGATTTTATCTAATCAATTAAAGGTTGTGAAATAGTAGTTATAAAAGAAATGAATGAATACTACGATATCATTTTATTTTGCAAACATGACACTAATTCTCATTTATCCAAAAGTAGGTGAAAAATACTGAAAAACACAAAACTAATATTTATTTTCGTAATCGTTTCAGCCGGTGTATGTAGAAGCGCATCCTCCGCTCTACAGAAGCGCAAGCTGTCCCATTTTCACATATGACGTCGAACCGAGAGGCCCGATCTACAAAAGAAAGCGAGCGAATTCCGAAAATATTCAATTATCTGCTAAAGATATGCTTCGAATTCAATCTGATACTGATCTACTTGGAATTGATAAAGAGAAAACGTTTACTGCGTCTGCTATTGTCAAACCTGCTGAATTATTGGCTCGTGTAGTTAACGTTTTGGGCGGTTTAGAACAGGCGCAGAAAGATCGTAACGATAAGGGTATCCATCTATTTGATGATGAACACATCTTGGCTAATGAAAGGCCTCCTAAGTTTAGTATAGGTCAAGATTATATACCAAATAATCCAAAACGAACAAGGGCGTTAAGTGTAGCTGTGCCAAATTATAAAAAGGAATATATTCCCCAAGAAGTTCATGAGCACACCTGGACTAATGGTGAATCAGCAGAGAAATTTAGAAGGGAAGCTAATATTAGAAGTGGAAAATTGTCACTGCCATCTAAAGTTTATCCTGAGGATACAGCACCGTCTCAAAATATAATAACAAGATTTTTCTCACGAAAACCAAGTTCTAACGAAATCTTGAATCCTCAAGCAATTAACGAAAATATCAAAGATACCTCTAGCACCTCTAAGTCAAAACGAGGCAGCGTGTTCCCCACCTTCTTTGGATCTGAAGAGCGAAATGAAGCAGACGCTTATAAAGAAAAAACTAAGAGGGGTAGGCACAGCATATTTCCAACTTTTGATTTCAATAATGAAGAGGAAGATTATCTAGCCAATGCTTACCTTGAAAGAACTAGTCGCGGAAGACATAGCATTTTTCCAACATTCGATTTTTCTGAAGATGAGGATGCAGCAGCTGTTAGAGCCTATCAGCAGAAGTCTAAAAGACACAGTATTTTCCCTACATTTAATTTTAGCGAAGATGAAGATGCTAAAGCATACAAAGACAGAACAAGATCAGGTCGCCGTAGCATATTTCCTACGTTTGACTTCAGTGACCCTGAAGATGATGCAGAACGCTACAGAGAAAATACTAAACGCGGTAGGCGAAGTATATTCCCGAGTTTCAATTTCAGTGGTCTTACTAGTAATGATGAAGACACTGTAGATGAAGATGAGGTAAAGAAATACCAAAACCGTACGAAAAAGGGACGCCTTAGCTTATTCCCTTCATTTGGTCGTTCTAAGAAAAATGACGACGACGTAATGCCAGAGAGTTCGGATGAACTTGTTGATTACAAGAACAAAACTCGTTCTGGACGTGGAAGCCTATTTCCGTCCTTTGGTGGATCTCGTAAAAATAGTTCGCCAAATTCATGTGCAGGAGATTTAGAATCTTCTATAAAACAATTTAATAACCAAAAGCGATTTAATCGCAATAGGTCTCTAGAAGAACCGGGACAAACGTCAAGTGATTTAGAGCGTTATAGAAATAGAACAAGACATGGTCGCCCAAGTCTTTTCGACCCAGATGTAAATATAACTAGCCTCCCTGAAGCTGAACAAGTTGAAGTCTTAGAAAACACAAGTGTAGCTGATCTTCTCAGAGCCTTAGCAGTTTTGGAAACTGCAGCCGGGTCATCTAACGATCCTCCTGGACTACTGGATTTCATAACCGAGCCGAGCGCTGTTGCGTCACGACGAAGGGGATCGATTAGACCAGATTTTTCAATACCTACGCCGCCTAGTAGGGATAGTCTTGAAGATAAGTCAAGACGTTTTGATGATTCTGGACCACGTCGAAGAAGGGTGTCTGCAAGAGCTGCCGCTCCACAGTTTACTCCTACACTAGCAACTGTTGTTGCTGGGGCGGAGTTACAGATACCAACAGCTACTGCTGCACGGGAGACTCGCATGTCAATGTTGCAGCAGCCCCCGCCTCCTTATTCAGAGACTGAAGGTGAAGAAGAGGTAACGAAACCTCGAACAAGGAGGTATTCTCCCGCTCCACCTGATGCTGGCCGATCCAGCACAGGTCCTGTGCCAAGACTCTTCTCTCGTATGCGAAGAGAAAGCGCAAACGCTGAAGAAGGAGATTCACGACGTTGTAGTTTAACTGATGTAGTTGTAGACAACTTTAAAGACAAAGACAATACGTAACAAAGTGCCTTTTAGCAAATTTAGTGAGTAATTATTTAAAATTGTAATTTATTTAATTTAAGTTAGAATTAAGTAAGTGATGAATATAAGCCGTCCAATATTTTATAGTCGTTTTAATGTGATTCCTAAAATCAATTAATAAATAGATCGTCTATATTTTTATTGGATGTAGTAAAGGATTATAATTAGATACTTTGTTTGGTATGCACAAACAGGTCATTGATGTCATAAAATAAAATTTAATTATATACAATGTACATTGATTAGAATTATAAGACTGCTGCTTATTCCTCAAAGAATGGTTGTAAAATGTTTGCTTGAGATGTCTAATTTAACTATGATGTAATAACAAAGGAGCATGTTCGAAGAACAGATGATATTTTAAAATTTCATATGCAAGGATGTGAAATACAAAATAAACAAAATTGACGAGAGATATTTTTATTTAGTACCTTTAGATTGTTTTGAACTTATAATATTGGCTTCCATCGAGTCATTACACTAATATAGTGTACTTAAAACAAAATAAATATCTGCTAATGAATCAACTATTATGATTTCATGAAAGTTCTATAATAAAACTTACAATAAAAACGGAGAATCATACATAATGTTCTGTATTTCAGTTCTTTTACACTAGCAATAATAAATTTGTTCTAAATTGATCAGAATCAGGTTCAATTAAGAAGACATTAGGTACTTGAAATAACCTTAGATTTTACAATTAATACAATACAGAAACAAAACATTAACACTATTGGTGGTGCCCAAATCTAACGCTAGCATTGAGTATTTTAAACTTAACGTTACAGATATATTTATAATACTATGGATTATTTACAAGAAATATATATAATAGGTACATAGTCGTGAACGGGTACGATCAAAATGATCGTCTCATTTGACATGTTTTTGCGATGCCCAACTTAATGCTTCTCAATCCACGCATGCGTTACAGAGCAACCTTTCATTTTCACACTGTATACACGTCACTTCATTCACGCTAAGTTCAGCGTCGCATAAACATGCCATCAGATCTGTACAGCTCAGTATTACTACTGAAAATGCATAACAGTACAACATCACGGTGCACAGTCAATTCTCATGAGATTTCTCTCAAGTCTTGATACTTCAAGTATCAAAACTGTCCTTTCGAACATTTTTTTCTAAGCTTACGTCTGAATAGCACTGGTCTATATTGCCATTGTCGTCCTTAATGAGAGATTGGAAGATTGAGATGAGGTTGTTCAGTCCAATGAGGTAGCCGTCTTCATGGTTGCCAACTTTCCAGACAGAATCATGGTCAATACTGACGTTATCTGGAACGGGGACAGTCTTTGCGAAGTCAATCATCCAGATGGAAGCCCTTCTTTTGTCGTGAACGAAGAGTAAGGAGCTGCCGATGAGCTCGTGAGATCTGAAGAACGATGACTCTTTCAGTGTATCCCTGATGCTCCTCAGTCTTTCTAAGTATTTCGGCTGTAAAGACAAAAAACAAAAAAATATTAATAAGTTACAACAAAAAGAATACAAAAAATCATGGAAGGCGATGAAAAGGATAAAACTTGGTTTCTACCTTACATTGGAACAATCAACGCTACCATTTTAATTTTTCGCTTGACATAATGTATACCTTTGTTTGAAAATATTTTAGTAAAATCAATGAAACTTACCGCAGCATTAGGAAAGTTACTGGTAAAGTCTTTGAAAGCTTCAACAATTTGTTCTCTAGTCTTAGTAGTCTTAAAGTCTTTGGAGCTAGTGCCATCAGCTTTCTTGACACCATCTATCCTGAAGCCGAGGGTCGCAGTGGAACTGATGGTCTCCCTCCAGATCATGTACCTTGGCTTCGTGACGCCTTTACTCCTGTGCTCTTCTTCAGTTGGCGCTTTAGGGTCTATCTGGATCATCTTTTCGTACATATCCTGGAAATAGAAAAGAGAACTGTTTAGAACTTTGATTACTTTTTGGAGTAAGTTATACGTTAAGATTATTATCTATGGTTTTAATTTGTCAAACTAGAATACTAATTCTTCAAAACATTACATAGCTTTTAATGTTTTATGCTCACAACACGAAAATATTTTTCGAGACGCTACTTCATCTCGTTCCCATTGACCTTTCGACATTCATTTACTTCAACTTCAAGTCGACTTCTAATCTATTCATAGCCTCTAATTGCTTGCTATTTATAATTCAATAACAACTAATAAGTAAAAATAACATTTCAATAATTATTATGACTTGTAGTGACTATTTTTATTACTGGTCTGCTTACAACATAATTACGATTGTATATGTTTAGTTTCATATCATTGACGTACGAAGTGGTAATTAAGACGGGTTTATCAATGCGTCCACACATTCTCTGACATTGTCGGATAAGCAATGAACTCTATGAGCGACGTTATGGAGGTCGCTAGCATAAAGAAGTTGTTTTATGTCTTCTATCATCTATTTGTTCATATTTTGCTTTGCATCATCTATTTAGTATTTGTTTATTTCTTTTAATACCATTACATATTTTGTTATTACTTCCATTTGGAACATTGAAAAAATTTTGTATTTTTATTTTGTTTTCATATCAAAATTTGATTGTGAGACATTGAAAATCATACAGTGCCAATTCACTTTTACTTTTTATTGGAATGGATTTTAAATGGCTTTCGTAACAGCCAATACACACTTGAACTTGAAAGATTGTAACAAAAAAGAAATCTGAACAAATATTGCATAAAAAACTACAATAACAATCGACGTAACTATGACGTCGGTACTATGCTAAAGTATAAAGCGCACGTTTGAACAGTAGTACGTGATGTAGTAAAATGAAGTGTTGATGTTTACTATCGAATATTTGTCGACCTTATTGCTTAAGACATAAGGGCGTTTAATGGTCAGCCGGAACTTAATCGAATGCACAAATATGAAGTGCAATAAAACGATATTGACGTCTGCCTACCGATACGTGTGTAAAGTTTAATGCTTGATATCAAAGTACAGGATCATAGTCTAACGTTTGAAATTTGCTTATTGTTCCTTCAAAAGGACCAAGTAATGAAAAGAAGGAAATAGATATGTACTTGACCACATCAATACTGGCAAAAAATGTGTAAAAGGAAATGAAACATTAAAATCCATGAATTCATCGCAAAACTTCTGGAGATCGAAAAGTAAATACAAAAATTTATATAACACAGGTTGCGGAGGTTAAAAATAATTTAGTGTTAACAAAATGTTAATGGTACTCACTTTTCTCAATTTAGTCTTCTCCTTAGCTTTGGCGAGCTCTTCCTCCAGGTACGTCCTGACTCCAATCTTGCAGTCCATAACGCAAGGACTGTCGAAATCGCTTAGCAAGTCTTGTAGTTGTAAATACACTGTATGGGAATGCTTAGTTAAGGAAATAGCGGGTTTGTTACATAGAATTCAAATTATTATAAGAGCCTATGAGAAAGGCAGTTTTTGAAAAGGTGACCCTATGAATCTCGATTTTCAAAATAAGTCAGTAGAAGTACAAAGACACGTCTTTCTATATCTCGTCTCCTTTGATGATTTGGTGTAATTTGTGATGGCGTTATTTTTATTTGTAAAAAGGATACATTCTCCGTCTTCGCAAGTAACTTGTCCCTTGTATTCAGGTACGAATGGTCGAAGAACGTCTTTCATCAGAATCTGTAATGAGAGAAATAGTTAAATTAAAACACAGTTCCAAAAGTTTTACTAAACAATAAAACATAAAGTATTTGTACTTTCTATTTGTATAATGCGTAAATTAATGAAAATGCTGTGAAAGCAGACGAAGATAATCGAAAGCACGAGTCTACTATCGTTTTCTTCTGAGAACATTATCTAATCTTCAAGCTTGATTTACTTTAAGAGGTCAATAGACATGTAAGCTAAGTCAACAATCTCAAAGCACGTGCAAAAACATAAGAGTCTGAAGATAATCAAAGAAAGAATGCTATCCACATGTAAGATAAAACAGAGGAAATGGATGATGAAACTAAACAGAATAACTAAAAGAAAACAATAAAAAATTGTGACCCTACGCAAAAGGTCGAAGACAAATGATCATCGCATCATCGCAAAGAAATTACAATCATCAAAATTCAAACACTGATGACGTATGCCTAATATTTCTTCATACGTTACGTTCGCACAATGGCGCATGTTTTATTCAACCACTTGTAAATAAATTGCGTCAAATGCCTATCTTCCAAACTTAGTCTAATCTAACCCATTTTTCTTCGTGACGTTCTCAAGTTGCCAATACATCATACATTGTATTTTTATACTCAACATCAGTATGCACATTTCCATGAAAAACATTATTTAAATGAATTTATTCTTATTTCATAACAACCACCGTCTATCGTGCAGTGGAAGTTAAAACGTAGGAATTATTATCAGTTCATATATTATTAACTAAGAAATTTGCACGTCCAAAATGTCATCGCTTACGTAAAGCATTTGAAATGACGTCAAATAATTATATCTGTATTCATTTTTAATTGTCTCTTTTTATTATTAGAATCAAATTTTATCAAACCATATTTTTATAGCAATCAAGAAATCTAACACGTTTGGCTAGATGTGATACTGATACTACTAAAATAAAAAACATAATTAAAAATATCGAAAAGACTAAGGACGACTAAATTGATCTTGAAAAAGGATTATTGTTGATAATGTTCAAAAACCCCTGAATGTACTCAGCATTTTGTAATAAGAGAAAACGCTACGAAATTCATCCATGGCTGCCACAAATAAATGATTTGTAAAACGATTGATTTAAAATAAATAATAATTGATATTATTACAGAGAACTGTTATAGATTTGAAGTAACAATAATTAACACCACACAGACACACAGACATGACATGTTGCGGTTTTGTCAAGGAAAAAATAACAAATTAATGATCGAGCAAAAACTCTGAATTGCAATTTGTGACTTAAACTTTATGCTGAAAGACTGAAGGTTAATTTTAATTTAAAACGAATCCAGACATCAATTGTTCGGTACGATAGTACAAGAAATAAATTTAGTTATTTGCTCACTAATAATATTGTATTTGATTACTAAAAACTATTGAACAATGTAATAATCTTTTCTTGTTTGAGATTTATTTAATGTCTATCTAGTTTTCAAGTGCGTTTTTAGAGTTCTTGTATTATGTATTTTGTGGTTCACCAGTCACATTGTAAAAATCATTCTCACCTTCGAAATTATTATTTTTACCAAATTATTAGTTCCGTTGAAGAAAATCCAATTACCATTATTTCAACTAAGGTATTAGTTTTTTGTTTCCAATTATTTGTATGGCAAACAACTCAAGTCGGTTATTGACTTTGTTTAACCGCGAAAAGTTCAAGAAAAAATCAGCTGATTCACGAGTTCGGTGATTCTATTCGACATAAAACTATAAAGAAAATTTTGTGAATCACCTTTTAAGTTGAAGTTAAAATTGATTGCGTGGTAGAATTTTGGGTAACAAAACCGGATTAGGTGAAGAACTTTGGTCAAAAACGTCACACGCATCACTAGGATTCTATGAAGAGTAAACAGTTCTAAACTGGTAATAACAGTGGTTGTAGTAGTAGGTAAGTATTTGGACATACTACAACACCTTTTAGGTATAAGTATGAAGGAGAAAGTAATCAATAAAACTAAAGAGCATACTTGTAACTTTAAGATAGAATATGAATGAATTTACGCACTGGAACCACGTGGAGCAGTAGTAACTGTAGTAGTAGGTAATGACTATTGTTTCCAAGAAGAAGCTACGGTTTGGGCAAATGACACACTTAAAACAGTGCTTAATGCATGTATTACTGACAAATGTGTTTGTTCTGATTTATTAGAAAAGATTTAACATACGTGACAACAATAAGGTAGACATCTTTGTAAAGCGAAATAAAATACATATCTATATACATACATATAATATGTTGAAAACAGGGAAAATGATCAGAAAAATCTAGATAATGTGCTTATCAAAATACTAGAAAAAGCAGTATTAATTGACATTTAACACAGGTCTATAACCTCAGTATTGGAAAGTAAAATTTTCGTCTTGTATACATTTGACTTAATTTTCTATCATTTTCTTATTTTTTCGTGTACCTCTAATGTTTGAATATAATAAATAGATGAATAGATGTTTACCTTAAAACACCTCTCTTCTTGCGGACAGAGTTTCTTCAAGATTGTGCCTTGGTCAGGTCCTGCCTTGAAGTTTCCTTGATGACCAGCAAGCTGGATCCAAGGATACCGCTGTTTCTTGTAGGTTTGGAAGAATGGCGTCCACTGCACGATGTTGCGGAGTTTACGCCATCTCTCCGATTGCTGGAATGAGAAAAGACAAAATTTAGAACTGTTGCGACGTTGATACAAATTCTGTTGTTGTTTTGAATTAAACGCCAGATGAACTCCATACTAATAAAGTAATGACAGCTAAAATTAATGCTGATTTCATTAACAATAGATAAGTAAATAATGACAAAAACTCAGTAGAGACAATAGATACAATGATAGCATTAAAAATGAGAAAAGTGACTCCTATGTGGCCCCTTATTCAAAGTATTATTCCCACATTACGTACAAACGTCTATTTATTCATGTCGACGTGATTATACGTAATTATGATTTATATAGTTGCTTGTACATTTCCTTCGACCCAGTTTTTATTGGCTTTGCTAAGCATGCACTTGTGCAGGCTTGCGAATGACGTGCAGTGGTTTATGATTTAGGTGTAAGGTGCCATATAAAAATATTGTTTGCCGTCAACCCGTATTTTATTGTCGAGTGATTAGTTTTGCGATAGTGATTTAAAATGACCTTGTGTTTAATTCCTGTTCTTTTTATTTAGGTTTTTAAAGTCTATGCTGTATGATTATTTATCGATAGCTAATTAAAACTGAGAATCCATATTTCAGATTTATATAAAATTTAGATTTCATAAACATTAGTAATACAATTCTGATTTAACCAAAACATTTAGAATTGGTAGCGTATCCCAACACTGATAAATGGCTTTTAATTAAAATAGGTAACTTGGTCCCAGAAAATGATAACAACCGTTATGACACAATTCAATATTAAATTAACAACGGACATATAAATTCCCCTGGTTATTTTGATGACGTCGAAGTTGGATACATAGCAGTGATTGATACTGCCTGTATAGATAATGGAATATTAGTTGATAATGCTACATTAAGTGAAATAGATAATTCTTGTCTTATACACCAAACAGATTAATTAACCAAACATATGTTCTACTAGATAAATACGCATTGAATAAAATATGGACTACCAATAATGTTATAGGACCGGCAGTTGAGGCTGATGACATGAGCAGCTATCTGAATTGGCTAGCCAGATAAAAGAGACCCTTGTATTAGAGATGAGTATTTGACCCATAAAACAACATCCTATATCGTAATTAAAGCTGGTCACCAGTAAAGGGATGGAAATGATATTGAACACTTCAACCTCATCTTCGTTATTTTTGTTAAAATCTTAGTTAACCTTATGTAATGTTGAAATATTTATGTAAATGACGAAGAAAATAATGTCACTCTCTTCCAAGTTATTTGGTTCATTGACATTTGTAGTTATTACATAAACACCAACATAATCTTCTATGACATAATTGTATGAATTCATTTACTCAGGTTTGGCTATTAAAATTAGAATCATTTAGTAGATTTTTTTTAAAGATAAACTAATAATTGTATAGTAACCAAGTGTTATAAATTCAATATTCAGTAACTAATTAGAATTATTACAAGAGGTAAGAAATAATCTGCCACTAAGTACCTATGACATGAGGAAAAAAACAATTTACGTAGGTACTAAAGTACCTATTAATTAATATTATTGGCACTTCATATTGCATCGCAATATATCCTGTCGGAATTTCATCATGAAAAAGGAAAACTGTTTTTTTTTTCAGTTTAATCAATTAACAAAATATTTACCTTTTTATGATTATGCACATAAGCACAGAAGACGACATCCATAAAATCCTCGATGGTAACACAAATATTAGCGGAATACATTGTTTATTTATCAATAACACGATCACTTCACAAAAATCGAAAGCTATAAACACGACTCTTACGCAAGGATAACAGGCAAGTTGTGTCTTTGCAAACGGCGCGAAACACACTGAACGGGCATGCCACTACTTCGCCAATATAAACTACTTATCAATCCACTGACTCACAGAGGGCCATATACACCGCAGAGACCATACTCTGACGTCAATGTATGTGCACGTCGATCAAATTCGACGATTTACGGAAATTCAATTTTTCAATGAATTATTCTAAATACTATACAATGAATACGAACATTTTTGGCCAATTTCTTTAAGTCCCTGTTGTTATTGTGACGCACGAACTATGCATTAATTAGGTTCAACGCACTAATTAAAATGTATATAACTTTTGGGTAACTGTCAGTACATTGTTCGTAACAATTTTCAAAACATATAACTTTAAATGTTTTGGAAATCTATTGAGAGATGCTAAGAATTTTGAATTTTTTATATCTGAACTCTGAATCTATCGTAAAGTATTGCTTCCCGAGACTGGTTTTTTGACCTTGGCAGAATCAACTTGTAAATTCCATCCAGCTTTTTTACTAGTCTTTTATAACTAGTCTTAAAATCTATCGCCTAAAGACAATACAGAAACGCTTCTCTTATAAAGATGACAGAAGGGAATTCTGGTAAACAATCAAAAACAATTAATATTATTTGTTTCTCTGAAATAGTGTGCGCCATCGGGATATATCTGATGATGTCCACACCACTTAAGACGGATCTTTATTGAGGATGAATCTACTTGGTGGTAATAAAAAAGATTGTTAAAATTACAGCTTATTCGGATTCTTATGTGGAAATACTATTTATGGACGTGGAGGATGCATTGTTCCAGAAACTTCTACGGCAACTGTGGACACCTACTCAATTGGTTAGTTGGTCTTAGTACTAAAATAGATAAAACAATAATTTTATTTTTGGAAGGGAAAAGCAATCCAATATCTTCTCCCGCCTTGATTGAGGCGAGAGGAAATATCAAACTCTTAATGACTAATACCCACCCCGTTCCTACTATTGCTCTTCAAGTCGGAGCCCTGGCAACCCGTTATGTCCTCCGCGGCTCAGAAGCCAATACCGGGATACGTGTTAAGTTTAGATTTCTTTTACAGTCTGTAGATTTGTACAAAAGTTAGTATTCGCAATGGAAGCACTAGGTCTGAGAAGTGTGAAATCAGTTTGTCTTCATATTTCATTAAATACTATATGGTAACAGTATAATTAATGAAATTAATGTATGTGTTTTGTAACTTCATATATAGAAAAAAACATACTTTATTTCATTATATTTTATTACATCAAATATGACCTAATTTTAATACTATGTAGAATTACATTCACAGACGTTTACGCAATTTATTGTTTGGACGTCATAATGCAATTTGTCATCAACAACATGCAGCAGGATTGAACATAAAACTGAAAATATTGCAATTACGTCAAATACAGTTTACAACCAATACTCAAACATTTACAATATAAAGAGATATAACGATTGTAATTAATTTTGGGACTACGTCATGGGAGACCTTTTTCGAAAACTGTCGCGTCCAAAAACGGAAAGGAAAATCATTAGGTAAGTCCACGGTGAATATAATAATGAATACAAAGGAATTGCGTCCGGAGAACGTTCTGCACATCACGTAGTCCTCAAAGAGAGGGAAGGCAAATTTGATAGGCAGCGCCTGTAGCTTATACCGTTAAATAAACTTTTTGATTCTGGGCCTTACCCATAGTACGTACTTGAAAATATTATGCCATTATCACGCAGTATGATGTCTATACTACGTCTACTACGATTAATAAATTCGTAATGAGTCCTTAGTCATACGGAGTCATGCTTTTTGAATCTGCCTTTGCGGGAATAGCTTTGCGTAATATGACATGAGTCGTTCAGGACATGATGCTTTGCTAATATGTCTATCTAGGGCAATGTAGTTCGCATTACATTAGGTAGGTACCTACTTTGTTAATATTTTTGAAAATCCTGTCTGTGATATTACTCATGTGTGTCAAAGGGATCTAATGAAAAGTTTACTAAGAAATTTATATTAAGAATCGCCGCATTTAAATGTGCGTTATATTTATTTTTCTCGCCATGCTAGCTTAAAGATGTCGCTGAGGTCTCTGTGCTAAGGATTGTTATACAGCTATTAAAAATTTTGACTTGTATCAGTCTGAAATTGTAATATCAGACTCATCTATTGCTACATACATATGACTTGGACTACAAAGATCTGGTAAAAAAGATGCAAAATTTATCAGACACACTTATAGTTACCCATAATATGCTGACATCTCACCAGGGAAAAACAAACAATCAAGAAACGTAAAAGACACTTCCTGATTCTAGAAAAAAAGAGACGAGCCTTCAAATGTGTTAACACAAATATTATTACAACCACATACAATATTGAGAACGATAATTGTGAAAATCCGTCACCAAAAGGCATTGACTCTTAAAGGAAGTACCCCATATTATTTGTACAAAGTTCAATTATTACTGTTTTGCGATTACCGAACGTATTTCAAGCATTGACGTCGCTAATATCATACGTGATAAAGAACAGCGGATTGTTGTCAGCACAGAATGACTGGGTATAAAAAGACGTGTTTGTTTCTTTTTGTAAGTAGATTAAGAACAAAAAAAAACAATATCATCATCATCATCACAGTTCTCGGTTCTTTGAAGATAGTCTGCCGTGAGGCTAATGATCGTGCGTCAACAGGACATGAGTTTCGAGTTCTAGATGTTCAAGTATAAAAACCCAACCAAATATTGCTCACCCTTAGTAAGCAATGCAGGGTTGGGTTTTTATAAACCTTTCATATCCTTCCTTGAGTATCGAGTAAGAAATTATAGGTACATAGGGTTATGTAATTTTTTTTAAGGGGGAAAATCATCGAATGACTGCTCCCGCCTGGGTGAGGCGGAAGGGAGTGTCAGACTCTTACTGACTAAAAACCACCTCGTTCCTTCCCCTGCACGTCGAGCCGGAGCCCCGGTTACCCGTTAGGTTCTCCGCGACAGGGTTATGTAATAAGACTAAAACGCCTATAATGGCAAGAAGTGTGACACATCCATTTTCCAAGTGTAATATCCCGAACATTCATGAACATTGTTTGATTATGTTTCGGTATAAAAAAAAATTGTGATGTCGTGCAGCCTACTCTATCGCCGCGACCGCGCCCGCTGCTCATGAGGAAGAACCCCTCTGTAGTTCGAAACTAGTAGAGCTTTTCTCAGTCGATTTTTAGTTAATTTAGTATGTCTCAAGACAGTTATTATAAGATATTATGCTGAAATAGTTCCTTCTCAAAATGATAAAGATACAAAATAATCTCAATTTATTTATAAAAACAAACCATAGAGGTGTTTCTCAAGGTTCCATTTTGGGTCCCTTATCGTATGCTAAAGGAGATCAACTATCGCAATCAAAGTAATATATTTTTGTCAAAATATTAGCAATTTAAATAGTATATTAGATATGTATCAATTCAAAATGAAAATTTACGAACTTAAGTTAAAAGATAAAATCATAATTTAATGGGAGCCCATTAAATGTTTGATTGTATCTCGTAGTTTAGATAAATAAACATTAAGTTCAACAAAAATACTTAATCTTATCGGCACAAGGCTAATTGTAAGATGTCTAAGGAAATGGCATTGATTGTTTGACGTCACACAATCGAAATACTAAATAATCATAATTTTAGAAAATCTAGGTTGAATTAATTAAATCTATTGTTGCGAACACCTGCGTCAGGACGTTGTTGACAGTTTGGCTTGTCTATGGTCACGATCACACCTGTTGGTCGTAAATCATCATGGTCATCAGCCGGAAGATGTCTTCTGCTGAACAAACACTTCCTTCTTATACGTTAATTTTTGGATACATAATTATGTATGTACATTAAAGAGGTGAAGACATAAATTTGGAGGTGGTAACTTGCAGTGAAATAGTTAATTATCGCTGTCAAATGTCGACCACTGAGTGATCATTACAGCAACGTGATAAATTATCTGTATTTCAGTATATTAATTGTACATTCATACATACATAACTTCACGCCTGTCTCCCATGGGGGTAGGCAGAGACTAAGGAACGCCAATTACTACGATTCTTACATACCTCTTTCGCTTCATTAACAGTCATCAATCTTTCAAGAAGTACTTTAATTGTAAGAACAGTATAAGTGAAAGTATAGTACATAGGTACTGATGTATTATACTTTTACTTATTTTTTAGATGATTGCGATTGTTATATATAACCCAATTTTCTGTAGCTTGTGTCAGCGTTACAGTAGTAACATTAAAGTTCTTTTTTGCTCACTACAGAAGGCCAAATTATAATATTTTTCATGACATGTGACCGTTTAGTATTAATATAATCAAGTCCCGTTAAATAAAACATAACAGGGAAAACCATTACCCATATACGAAAAAGGAAAAAAACAATCGGAAAATATGTAACTACGTAGATTTTAATTTTCGATAAGCTGCTATTGTGCGCCGATTCTATGGGATTGGGAATTCTAGTTGATGCAATTTCTATGGAATTTATATTATTCATGTTTGTTTTATAAAATGATGATTATACAACACTATTGAACTCGATTGACGCCGTCTTGTCTGACGCACGGATTATGCACAAAATGAATGTGCAAAATTGTTGTCGAATTTTTGACTTTCGAACCTTCGACTTTTGTGTCAAATAGCTAAACTCGTATATTGATGTAACTGGTTTGAAAGTAGGCTTGGTAATTGGCAATGGTATTAAAATAACACTTGATTAAATTACTGATAGTAGACTAATCTGTTTGGAAAACAGAAATTTTATTACACTTTGGATTAGTCCAATGTGTAATTAAACATTACATAACACATTGGATTGGTCCAATGTGTAATTAAATTTTTGTTTTCCAAACAGATTAGTCTATATTTAGATTACAGC